CGTGTGGACATCGACAACAGCTTCCCGGGTTACGGCCAGTTTGCCGGTGATACAACATCGGGGACTCGTGTATGCGTTGCATACATGGGTTTCTCTCGCAGGCTTTTCACGTACTTGTGGGACTTTTTCCACCCGTTTCTTTGGCTCAGATAGTTCCTTGCCATGAGCAGCCCCAGCGCATCTTGTATTTGTTTATTCCAGCTCTTCACGGGAACAAACACGACAAAGTAGCATCAGCCCCGTGGTGGTTTCCTTTTGCAGGGAAGAAAGGCACACCAGTAACATGAAATAATTTCTTTCTTTTATTTTTCTTATCGAAATCCCATACCTCATTATTGTTTTCCGAGATGAACGGATTCGGGAACTAACTGTGCTATCTAGACAGTTTTGCCAAAACAAAGCTGTAAATTCACAGAGAATTAAGATTTTCTTCTGAATTTTCTTCTGTATTTTCTTCTGAATTTAGTGCTCCCCAAAGCATGCAGCCTGCAAATAGCATGTGAGTTGCATCTTGATGTTTTAGATATGGAAGACTGCAGTATATTTATTCTTAATATCATGCTTTTATGTGAGGGTATTGTTGTAAATATGGGTTGCATTAGGCCTTTTAATTGTATTTCTGTGGTGAATAGTCATTTGTTCTGTAGGTGATGGTGTCTGTGTGCATATGAGCATATGTTCTGGGTACGTTTTTTTGTGAAAAACCCTTTTTAGTGACCAGGATATGCTAGATATTTTCTCTATATATGTGTATGTAAATATGTGTAAATACATTTATGTATTTGAGATAGTTATTCTTAAAGCAGCAGTGCATTTCCAGTGCCTGCTGCATCTATTGTGTTCAGGGTGGATACAGTGGAGCAGAGCAAGCTTGCAGCTATGTTACTACCAGCTGGCACCCTGATCTAACAAGTTTATTTTGTCTTTTCTGCAATGACCTTATAGTTAGCGGCCTCAGACAAACCACAGTTTTGCAAGCACAGACCCCTATCCCTCCAAGATGGCTGTAATCTGTCTTTATTGTCCACAGAGAGATCACGTTTGCATCATAAATACAATCTTTTATTGTAAGGGAAGTGGGAAAATGAAAGAGGAAGGAGTGTCTTCCCATCCCAAGGCAGCTGGAGGAAGTTTTCCATTCTGCAGTATAGTTGGCTCTAATTACTACTGGGTTATGTGGGTGCTGGGTGTGTGCCTACCTTTCTCAGTGCTGGCAGCTGTAAAACATAGAATCACAGAACGTTTTGAGATGGAAGGGACTGTTGAAGGTAATTTAGTCCAACCCCCCTGCAGTAAGCAGGGACATCTTCAACTCATTTAGGTTGCTTAGAGCCCCCTCGACCCTGACCTTGAATATCTCCAAAGATGTGGCATCTACTGTCTCTCTAGGAAACTTGTTTCAGTGTTTTGCCACCCTCATTGTAAACAATTTCTTCCTTATATCTAGTCCGTATCTACCCTCTTTTACTTTAAATCCATTACCCCTTGTACTATCACAACAGGCCTTGCTAGAAGTCTGTCCCCGTCTTTCTTATAGGCCTCCTTTAAGTATTGAAACACCACTATAAGATCTCCCCGGAGTCTTCTCCAGGCTAAACAGCCCCAACTCTCTCAGTCTGTCATGACAAGGGAAGGTGCTCCAGCCCTCTGATCATTTTTGCGGCCTTCTTCTGGAGCTGCTCCAACAGGTCCATGTCCCTCTTGTGCTGGGACCCCCAGAGCTGGGCACAGCACTGCAGATGGGGTCTCACGAGAGCAGAGCAGAGGGGGAGAATCACCTCCCTCGACCTGCTGGCCATGCTTCTCTTGATGCAGCCCAGGATATAGCTGGATGCATCCTGTTTTGAAGACACTACTAGTGTTTATTTGTGTACCTTGCCAAGCAACTGATAGCATTTCCTATTGTGCTCAGCGTGTAAACATCTGGGCAAATACCCTAGGTTTCTATCTATTTAATACTGTGACGTGGTGTGGCTCTGCCTTGAATCTAGCAGTCAGAGCTGTGAGCCCAAGATTGTTGAGTGTCAGATGATGTCTCTTTTTTCCATTGGTTTCAGCAGGTGTTGTATAATTAACAAGAACGCACTTCAAGACTTTTCCGTCTTCTCTATTGAATCAATAATACAGCATCAATGCAATTAGTAATCCTTGTTTAGTTAGAAACAGCAGTGGGTAAGAAATATTTTGCAAAGTTATCTTACTTGAGTCAATATTTTCTATAATTTGTGCCCCCAACAGTGTTTTTATTTTATATGCAATAACAAAAGTCTATAAAAATTATTACACCCACTCTAAAGCTGGCCATTTTCATTAGTCATTTTCCATCTCATTTCAATTATATAGTGTGATTTCCAAGCAGTTAATATTTTATGTGTCTCCAGAGTTACAGATTACTGTGTTTTTCTTTCACTTGGGATTTCATGGTAGGTATTGCCTGTTGATTGCCTGTTGCTCCAGTAGCTTTTGAGAGAGCATCTTCCCAAATAAATGCAGGGCTAAATTTCTAGAAACAGGAGCAGAATATAAGAGCATAGTGTGATTCCAAGGTGGTGCTTCGTAGAGGCTAGGCTTTAGTTTAGTAAGCGGTCATTAGCCTTGATATTCTACAGAACCAGAACTTATAAAACGTGGTGCACAGACTCCCATGGCACATCTCAAAGCAAGAGCCTATAATCTGATGATTAAAATAATCATCCTTGAACTTAGGAGACACTGAGGGGCAATCCAGATGTTTTACTCCTCTCTTTGACACATATATTAGGAATTCAGACTTCTGTCATAGCCTTTTCCAGTGCTCAAATGCAGGAGGATCAGTCCATGCTATGGTACTGCCAAAACTATTTCTCTTTTAGTTTCCTCAATACAACTTCATTGAAGCTCTGTTACCAAACTAATTGATCCAAATCATGTCTTGTTTCCATAGTTTTTCCATTTTCCTACTAGCAATTGTAATGTGTGCATTTAAATGGCATTCTCAGATCCACTTGGTGACATTTTAGACTAAGAAATACAAGGGTTGCGTCTCATAGGTACTTCACTTGAAGCCACAACTTCTGACTAATGTGTTGTCTTAAGAAGGTCCAGCTTGGTCATTGCCAAATTCCATCACCTTCTCTCTTGCTTTCCTCCTACTCAGTTGCGTTGAAGAAAAGGGTTAGGATGAAGGTTCTCAGTAGTTGAGACTGTTGAAAAGAGTCTTATTTTTGTAGTTGCAATATTGCTATTTTTCTAATATGTCTTCCTATACTTCCTCTTCCAGGTACTTCATATTTAACAGATATAGTATGGTGGTCTGGCACTATTGCAAGTAAGTATCTTAAAAAGCTTGATTTTATTTGAAGGGAGAAGTTGTGGTTAGATGGTGAAATGAGACATCAGAAAAATCTGGGTTCTCGTCTTGAATCTCACGCTCATTTGTCATGAAATTCTCGTCCCTCAGCTATATCCAGCCTTCTGTAAACTCTCACTCTGGCTATTGTGTCTGATGGTGTTTGAGAGGGCAAGAAGCTGGGACAATCCCACGTCAGACGTCTGTCCAGATTTCCAAACTGTTTGGTACTTGCAGCCCTTGGCAGCCACACGATGCTCTGACTCTAGGTTCCTGCATGGTTTGGGTCTCTGGATTGCGCTGGTCTGCTCAGTTTTTAATAAATGTCAAAGCTGAATAAGAAATTGTCACTCTTTACAAAAGGGCTCATTGACCACATGTTAATTTTTTAGATCAGAAAGCACTTAGCCAGCATCAATGGAAAAAAAAAATCCTTTTCAGTTTCTATTTTGACAGATACAGTTTCAGTTTTGCTTTTAATCTACGAGATTAATGTGAAGTCTTGTGTGGTGCTGATATGAGATCAGTGTAATTTCACTCTTAGTATCTTTGTAAACTCTGCTCAGGCTAAGTTCACTCTCTGATATGAATCCAGAGCACGAGAAGCTGCTAGCTTTCTCCTCTTGCAGTGTAGCCCTAGTTCTACCCATGAGCTTAAAATCACACCCCACTTTTATACTCTAAGCCAGCCTTTTGTGAATTATTGGGAAATATTCTGATGCCATTTTTGAGAATATATAAATCCACTTGTGCCCCTAGTTCTATGGCAACAAGGTAAGTCTCTGCTTTTGTTGTCTTTAAGCTATGCAAAAGGAATGGAAACTGGTAGATCCCCTGAAGGATGAGGTTCACAACAAGTGTAGAAGCTGGCAGAGCTTCAGAGGAAAGTCCTCAGCTAATTTAACCTGAGTTTAAGTAGTATTTTGTCATCTTCCTCCTCTGCCAGGATCACTACTGGCTAAGGAGCAATAACTGTGTATTAATCACTGCTGTTTATTGCTTATGAGGCTCCCATCTTGAATCTCCAAGCAGAAGGAGTTAAAATAAGAGAGGTTTTATTACAGGAGCTTATCTTAGTGAATCAGAGAAAACAATTTCATGCTTAAAAGAGCTGACAGAATTGAATGAAGGCAAAATAGCTGAAGGGAATGGTATCAGTTGGATTTTGTCCAGTAGCGAGGTGTAGGTATTTCAAAACAAAGCTTCAGTAAGTTTGCAAAGGAACCAAGGGAAGAATTTTTTAAGGATATTATAGATTCAGAATTGCAATAGTGAGGGCCGAGTAGGCACCTACGAGATATAGGGAATGGCAATGCTTGGGGAATTAGCAGTGTCCCTAGTTATCTGGGCAAAATTATAACGGCTGACATCATTTTCTTGAGCAGGGAGTTTGTAGTTTGGATGACTAACAAAACCCACATAAATTCTATCAACTTGTTTTCACAATATTTGTTCAGATGGTGAACAAGCATTTCTGTGTTGGCATGCTGACTCGGCATAACACTGCCTGAAGTGTTATGAAGACTTCGAAGGAAGGGCTACAGCTTCTGCTAAGGGACTTTTTCTTACATTGTAGTCAAAAGAGTGATTGCAGCATGTGTACAGGTATTTCAGTGAGCATTAAACTAATTAATTGGCTAATTAATTAGTTTCAGTGCAGGTTTTGATAGCAGATGTGGCCGGTCTTTAGTGGTTACATCTATGGTAGTGTTTTCTTGCACATGGGAAATACACTTGTGAAGTGAATCTCCTCTTTGTCTCCACAGACTGGGCTGTATTTCATGTTGTGGACCAAATGTTGGAGCTCCTACCCTAGACTTTAAGATGAAACTAGGTTGAAAGATGCATTCTAGGAACATGCCTAATGCACATCAGCTTTTAATAGACTTTCAGTCTGTGGGAGGAGGCTGAAGTTAGTCTGAAATAAAACCCTTGACATGCATAGAGCAGACATCTGCTGTACGGATCTGCTCTTGGTCTCTCTGCTAATGTAGACATGTCAGTGTGCATCAGGTTTTGTGATGCAGTAACTTCGGGGATATTGGCGTTCCTTTAGCAAGTTTAAAGCTTGGTATTCCTTCAAGAACTTACAGCATTGATGTATCTGGAGAGGAATTTCTATCCAGAGAGGACTGGATAATTTGGCAGCAAAGGTCTTCAACATCAGGTAGACGGTAACAATTACTGAGATCCTTTTTTTTTTTTTTTTTTTTTTTTTAAATCGGTCATAATTAGTCCTGATCTATCTTTTGTAGTGGTAATAGACTGTTACTATTATACTATGGTGATACCAAAAACCTCTGGTAAGTTCAGTTGCTTTACAATATGTGCAGTTTGAAGCTTCGGAGGCCTAATTTAGGGATCAGTACTGGTGCCATATGTTAGGGCTCTTCCAACAGAAAGTTAAGGCACCATACCTCCATAAAAAGCAACCTTTTGTCAGAGTCACTGGGAAATGTATGTAATCTGCAGAAACAGCGTACTAGCTGTGCCCTGTCCTCCATGTAAGATCTGTCTCGGTGCCTGTGGGTGACTTGAAGATCATACCAAAGTTGCCACGTACTTTTGCTGAAAAACAAGCCTGAGGCTGATAGCTGAGTTACGCTGTTCCCAGGGGCAGGGAGACCATCTGACTCTTGTGCTCTAGAAATCACAGAATCACAGAATGTTAGGGCTTGGAAGGGACCTCGAAAAATCATCTAGTCCAACCTCCCTGCCAAATGCTGCTCATTAACTTCTTTAGCTCACAACTGCACATGGAGAAAGCCTCTGTGAATTGAATTCATATAATTTTGCCACATTCTGCATTTTTTTTTAAAGTTTGTTTGCCTCCCTCGTGTTTCTTGTAGGTTGCACAGGTCTTCAGCTCTGCTGGTAATGTGAGCTAATTCGGTGATTAATGTTTGCACAGTGCTTTGCAGGTGTAAAGAACAGAATGATGGTAACGATATTTGATAGTCAAGGGCAATGGCATCCTGAGCATAAAGACAACTTGGATTCTTGAAATGTTTTTAAATGCTGATAATGCCTCTTAACATCAACTGGAAATTCGAGCTGTATGTAATTTGTGTTCAATCTCCAGGTTCTTGCCAGTTACCACAGACCCTGTAACTATGCAAGCATCATGTTGCCTATTATAAACTTGCCAGCACTTGCAAAACCATCCAGCTTTTCTTTTCTAACTGAAAACTTGAACGCATGAACTGTTTATCACAGCTGTGATGTGCAATAGTGTGGCACATTTTGGAATTTGCTTTTATTGGGGTAAAGAAAAAATAAGGTTATGAGGCTGTTATTGAACTTGTCAGGGATCTGTTGGGGTTTTTTTTAGTGATCAGGAGTTACTTTTGATGTTACATAGTGTGAAAATTTGATGCTATCTACAAGCCTTTACGCATATGCTTGGTATTTCATGATTGGATTCCTTTCCTGAGTACTGTCCTTATTTTCCCCCGAAACAGTAACACTACTGTTAGGAACTATAACCAAGTACATTCACGTTACATGTATGTGCATTCTAGAGCTGAAATCATGGGTCGCATATACTTTCAGCCCTCCTCATATAAATATTTGAGTGTAATATGGGGTTATTTGAGAATAATCCATGAGTGTTTCTAATTCATAGTCTTATTTATATTCAACGAGGAGACATTGCAAATGAGATTATTTACTGTGCCCTCTTGGATCTTATTGTGTGGCAAATATAAATCCTATATTAAAAAATAATTTTAAAATATGGAAAAATTCCAGCCATTTTTTCTAAGTGCAAAATTAACAGAGCTAAGCAAATCTGTAACATCTGTTTTCCAGTTAGATCAGTCTTTCCCAAACAGTATTGGGCAAGTTTTCATTCCTTCTTTTTACAAAGGGATTTAAAGGCTTATTTCTGATTCTCTTGACAGTGGCTCTGGGTCAAATAGGGAATTTCTTGGCCTACACTGCAGTCCCAACTGTGCTAGTGACGCCCTTGGGAGCTCTTGGCGTTCCATTTGGGTAAGAGTTTGCTTTTCTTGTTCTTATCTGAATGCTGTTACTACTTAATAAAGTGTCGGAGAGACTCTGAGGTCACTGGAGTTCCACTGAGAAGTTGTCAGGCTTATAGCTGTTAATAATGTGTTATAATGTCCCCTATTTTTGTCTTCCCCAGAAGAGAGGTGGGGGCAGTGAAGGCAATGGTGAAGAAAGGGTTCCTGAGTATCTTTTGCTTTACCTGTCACTATGATCTGGAACACATAAACATGGTTGTTTGGTTTTTTTCCTTTTGTTCCTCTTATTCCCTGTTCTTTTAGTGTGTAGATCTTTCCTTTTGTCTCACATCCTTTCTCTTCTCTGCTATCCACAGCCCACATGTGTTTGTTGATGCTGATTTTAATTTAATTGGATTTGGCCCCTTTCTGAAGCAAGGGGCTCCCCCTTGCATAAGCACACCCCTAGCTTCTCAAATGTTATGTTGGGAAGGGGGAGAACAAAAAAGGCAGTGAGTGCTCCCGAAAGGAGTTTAATATGCAATTCCGTGTTTTGTGCGTATCTCAACTACAGTTGTGAGACTATGAAACCACTGCAGTGAAAAAGTACAATTCTTTAAAAACAAAGCTGTGCATTCACAGAATCACAGAATGTTCGGGTTTGGAAGGGACCTCGAAAGATCATCTAGTCCAACCCCCCTGCCAGAGCAGGATCACCTACAGTAGGTCACACAGGAACGCGTCCAGGCAGATTTTTAAAGTTTCCAGAGAAGGAGACTCCACAACCTCCCTGGGCAGCCTGTGCCAGTGCTCTGTCACCCTCACAGTGAAAAAGCTTTTCCTCATGTTTTTGTGGAACCTCCTATGTTCCAGCTTGCACCTCTTGCCCCTTGTCCTATCATTGGACATCACTGGGAAGAACCTGGCTCCGTCCTCCTGACACTCGCCCTTTACATATTTATAAAGAGGAATGAGGTCACCGCTCAGCCTCCTTGCCTCGAGATTTTTCTGTTGCCTGCTGCTGGCTGCTGAATTGTGTACCTGACTGCACTGGACATCCACTTCAGAGTGTAGAATGCTTTTTATGGACTTCATGTCTGTCTTTAGTTTTATGTGCTAAGAAGCACACTGATGCTTTTCTACTTACCACCTATTATCCTAGGCTACGTAATTTTGTGTATTTTGGTCAGCTACATGTTTGACCTGAACCCTGTGATCTTTGTAATCAAAAATCACTTTTATCTCATGATTGTGTAGCGCCTATAAAATGGGGCTTCATGACAACTTACCAGATTGTTAATGGATAGGTATCTGCCTCAGGTGCCTTGGGGGTTTCATTTTTTTTGGAGGGGGTGATGTGGGGTTTTTGGCATGTTGTGGTGGGGTTTCTATGTTGGGTTGTTTTGCTTTGTTTTGTGTTTTTTTCTCCTGAGATAAGACACTAAGGATTGAATAAGAATAAGACTGGATGAATTTTTCCTGTGATAAGTCAGAAATGCATTATGAGGATCCACCAACAATTTGTCCAAGATCCAGCCTTTGATATTATTCCCTTAAGAGGGAAATTCATGTGGCACATCACTGCTAGAGCATTATTAACAGGATGTAGTCAAACTTTTCATTTTCTTCCTCTTTGTGAAAGGTCCATTTTAGCTTCTTACTTGCTGAAAGAAAAACTGAACATTCTTGGCAAGCTGGGATGTTTGCTGAGCTGCGCTGGGTCTGTTGTTCTCATCATCCATTCCCCGAAGTCTGAGAGTGTAACGACTCAGGCTGAGCTTGAAGAGAAGCTTACAAATCCAGGTACTTTGTTCTTTTATTAACTCATACTGATTTTGTGAGATGCATCAAAAGCATCCAGGAGGAAGAGGCTTGCCACTTCCACTAGATAGGAAAATTGACTTCTGAAGAAACCGTAATGTGACAGAGGCAAACCAGTACAGCTTTTATGCAGGAAAACTATATGCCTTGCTGTACTTGGAACTCATCAGTTTTATTGTTGCATGTGTACAGAAAGGAAAATGTGGATACTTTTGATAACATTATCCCACACAGCAAGTTCAGAACAATAGCTATTTGAACTTGTAATTTTCTGAAATTGTGAAAAAATGTGTTGCTACTTAAGAGATGAAGGTATGATTCTAGCATCTGAATTTAAGGTTTTTTTTATACAAACAACCATCTTCTATTTTTTTTAATTCTGCATTTGTTTTTTATTAAAAGTTTGTGGTAGATACCAGTTATGTTCCAAGCAGATTTCTTTGCACAATAAAGATGTATAGAAGTACACCATAGAGACATTTGCTGAAATGCCTGCTCCTTCTCACAGACAATGTGAAGCCCCACTAGCTGCTGGAGGACATATACTGGTGCTAATAAGTGCCAGACCCACTTTTATTTTTCTTGCCTATGAGCTAATCTGCCAACTATTGTTACTTCCTTTAATTGCTTTAGATGAGGGAAACTCAAACCTAGTAGGCAGCTATCCAAAACATTTGCAAACAAATTAAAAAAAACAAATACCCTGGTCTAAATTTACCATTTTTGGTCTGACCAAAAAGAATTGGAAATATATTTCTTTAAAACTGTAAAGCATGAAATGTTTTTCACTGGTCTAATCTGTGTACTGATGCTGTAATGTAAATGATATGGCCTCGCAGTTCTTCCAACTCTCCCTACCCACCTTAATTTGATCTAACTTTGTTTAAGCTCTTTGCTAGATCCATGCGCTACGCTCTATTGAACTGATTATGAATGAGGTGTTATCGCTGCTGTTTGCCAGCTTTAAGGAGTACAATCCTGATGGAAGAGAGAACTAAAAGAAAAAAAAGCTGTCTTAAATCCAGTTCAGATGTGCAACGGTGTATATTTTAGTACATAATAATCTATTTTACCCAAAGAACAAGACAACATCTCTAAAAGCTCAGTGATTTGGATCTATGCTCATTAGCAAATCTTAATCCTGGTGTGTAGCTGAAATTCACTGGTATGACACAATTTGTCTGCTGAAATCTCTAAAAGACTTTGCTATTATCTTGTTCTCTTTTTGTTTTCCAGTTTTCGTGGGTTATCTCTGCATAGTGCTGCTAATGCTTCTCCTGCTTATCTTCTGGATAGCGCCAGCTCATGGACCTACTAATATAATGGTTTACATCAGTATTTGCTCTCTGTTGGGCAGTTTCACTGTTCCCAGCACAAAAGGCATTGGGCTGGCTGCTCAAGATATCTTTCACAATAACCCATCGAGTCAAAGGGCTTTGTATCTCTGTTTGGTACTTCTGGCAGTATTAGGATGTAGCATTATCATTCAGTTCAGATACATCAATAAGGCACTGGAATGTTTCGACTCCTCAGTGTTTGGTGCCATCTACTACGTTGTGTTTACCACCCTGGTCCTGCTGGCTTCAGCCATCCTTTTCAGGGAATGGAGTAATGTCGGAGTGGTAGATTTCTTGGGAATGGCTTGTGGATTCACCACAGTGTCTATAGGAATTGTTCTTATACAAGTCTTCAAGGAATTCAACTTCAGTATCGGGGATTTAAATAAACCTAACATGAAGACAGATTAAAGTAGTTTTGAGGGGAAACTGGATGGCTCAGGGAAGGATGCAGAGCCTTTCATTTCTAGGTCACTGATTCAAATATGATTCAGGTTGGTACTTAGCCTCTGACGATTTAGTGGCCTACGTGAAATGAATTGGAGGCCTCCATCCAGTTTCAAAGGACTAGTTGTCCATGTACCCCACTATATTTGACCTTAATTGGAACCACTGATTGAGTCAGCATAGAGACCGATGTATTTCCTTACTGTAAAAGGTAATCCATCAGAAAAGATCTGGGGATGTTCTGACAGACCTGTGTGTGAAAGCTTCTGAGGTACCATTTCTGTGGGCAGAGAACATCAGTTTCTAATGCACTCAATCTGACACCTTTCATGAGTGATGTATACCTTAAAATATGGGGGGGGAAAAAAAGTGAGTGGAGCGATTTTTTTAATCTCAGTTTAGCAATGTGTTCACCATCGAGGCTGTGAATTCTGAGATAAATGTTGGTTGAACCATGGACTGCAGATTTATCCTTTTTAGTGACTGTCTTGGCAACTTGTTCTGCCATGTGGTGAAGACACTGGGGAGTTTTAAATTGAGTTCTTTATACAGAGCGCTGGACCCTTAAAAGTCTTTCACTAATTACTTCTCAGCTGATGGTAGTGCCCAGGTATACATTTTTATTTGTAACTTACACGCATTAAGACATATCCATTCATCTTAGAGTTTTTAATTGGGAACAGACAGAAAAGACTGTGAAGGATGTGGAAATGATGCACAGACATTGCCTATATGGTGACTTGTTTGTAAGCAGCCCAGAAATATTTCAGTGCCTTTGTAATCCAAAATCACTGCATCAATGTGAATGTATTTGCTTCAGATGGCATATACTGGTTTAAGAATTAATTTTCACTGTCTACAACATTGAGCTATTTTTGAATTTTAAACATGTAAAGCATCCAGGAGGAGCCAGGCATTTTTGGATGTATTTAGAAACCTGAACTGAAACACTTAGATGCCTTGACAGCTTCTGAAAAGTCCATAATCCTAGTAGGAAAAGGTAATCTACAGAAAGATCTGTTTAAAGCAGCCCAGCATAGCTTTATTTAAGTGACTAAATACAGGAAGCCGTTCAGTGAAGTAGCTAATAAGCAGGGAGCACCCTAAAAGAAATTTGAGAGAGAAAAGCATTAAAAAAAGGTGATCTGATCTTCCTGTAACATGGGAAAAGGAGGTTAAAGACTGAAAAAGCATAGGCATTCAGAGAGCTGAGTTTCAGATAACCAACAGGAATGTACATTGAGATCCAGTAACTGACAGATCTGTGTGAACAGTTCAGCCATAATACTTTGACAAGGAGTACAGATAGCTTAAGCTATGATTGGCATGATTCTGAACTGTACAGTTTGAACCATTTAGAGAATATTGATATGTCAAAGTAACAAATAGGTAATTGTCATGTTCTACTTATATTTGGTAGTTAGAACATTAAAAGTCAAAAACTTTGTAAGGAAAGATTGAAAAGTTATGAATGTTGGTTTCCATTTAAGTACAAAAATGGAAGAGTACAGTGGAACTCAACCTCTCTAGTTCACAACATCTCTTGAAACAAACAAAAAAAACCCCATGTGATTATGAGACCATATTTGAAAAAGTTCAGGACACTTTACCAAGAAATCATGAATGTAGCTTTGTGACTGACTGACAGGAATGTGGACCTTGATTAATGGGCAGTAATACTGGCCACTCTCATGTTTTTCATCAAGCTGAATTAATGTTACCTTAAAACTCAGCCTTCATTTTCATATAAAAGGAATGTTATAAGCCCTTCTGATGGCAGCAATAATTGTGAATAGTGAATCCTAAAGATTTAATTTTCTGTAGGGACTGTTCTGAGGGAGTAAGAGCCCCAGCATGTTACTTGAAAGCTTGTTTTATAACTCCAAACTGGAGGGTAATGACTCTGAGTTGGCAGAAATGTACATTGTTATAGGCCAGCATGGAAACCAGTTATCTTGGTGAAATAAAATAGCAGAGAAAAGGCCATCCTTGTGGATTTTCAAACATTGTGTATGGTTTCTAGAAAGTTTTGAGAATTGTAGATGAGGGGAATTGGACTATGAAAGCTAGTTAAAACTAACCTCTGCCCATTGTTGATGGGTGTCTTGGTTCGTGGCAAAGGGTTATGTTTCTGGTGGAAACTGAAAGCATACATAGGTTATGAGAGCTGTAGTGACCTGCTTTTAAAACCAATGCTAACTGCTTTCTGAAGCAGTCAAGCTGTCTTTTCAAAATTCAAATTCACAGTTCATGAGTTGCATGTTGGTTTGGTACTAGCCTTTAATCTCTGAAGACTTTCCGAAAATCTTTAGGTCAGAATGAAAATGATTGTGGTCTCATCTTAGTCCTCCTTTGGCCAGATTTGTTTGTGTTGTTTTAAAATTCATTCCTATTTATTTAGAAAGTGCCTATCCTAGTATGTTTGGTGCGTATGCAAATTATTAGTAAATATTAGATCCAAAATAACTTGACTACCCTGCCTAAACCTTGCTATTTTCTGCACCACACACAGAGGTTTACTTGATAAGCACTCACTATGCAGAGCAAGAATAAAGTAGCAGCCGTGTTCTTTGGTCCTCTGACCATTCTTACAGCTGACAAATGTCTGCATAGGTTTCTCCTCTTCTCCCCAGCTGCTCCTCATCTGTGATGAGCTTTCTAGAAATGTCTAGTTAATCATGTTGTTTAAAACAGAGATGTCAAAAGCCAGCACATAAGGTGAAAGAAATTCTCGTGGCCTTCCACATCGTTTATATCTGCAGCCTTTTACACCATGAATGCTAAATAATGAAAGCCTTTATTTTTGCTACTTGGTTTAGTATGTAGCAATGTTCTTTTGAGTTCTGCTGTACCTGGATCTGGTTCAGTTCTAACTTTAGAAATGTATTAGCATTTTCTGTTGTCACTGTTGGTGTGATTCTTCCCCCCTCCATCCCACACCCTCCTCGTTCTAGGTGTCCTACCTTTTTTAGTCCTGTTGTTTTTCTGCTCTAAAAGGAGGCACTGTTGAATTTCAATTTTAGCTGTTCCTTCTACTTTATTTTTTTTTCTTCCCCCACCCGTTTGACAAGTAAGCAATTTGAATGAGACAGATATCAGAGTTCCATCATCTCAGGGAGCAAATGTGCATAGTTGTCTCCTGAGCTTTGGTGTCCCTCACAGGTCTGCCCTTTTCTTCATGTTCTCTTTGCATTATGTCTATTGATAGCTACAAGCCAGATGACTTCAGTTCTGATTCCAAAGCAGAAATGGGGGAGTCTACACAGACAAGAAGTGGACTCACCACAGTGGTGGGATGCGTTTGAATTAAATTCAAATCCATACGAAAGGCGTTTCACTCAGTATGTCTGGCTGCTGTTACACTTGTCGAACATATTTACTTTGTACTCACTTGAAGATAGCTCTTTGATCGTTATCCCTTCAGTGTATGGAGGATTTACATGTCAGTCACAATCTTTATTAGGTGTCAAACACAAAAAATCCCTCAAATGTTCAGTAGGAGAATAGAAACCTTTTTGATACAACCAAAAAAAATTTGTTACATCTTAAATACTTATGTAAAGAAAAAAAATATCTAAACAAGTTGTCTGCTGTATTGGCTTTCCAGGACTCTGTATGTGTAAATAGAGCCTATTTAATAGTGAGCTGCAACTAACATTAATAAGAACCAGTCATATCAGTTTGACAAATGAGGCTTCCTATTAATAATCTTGGTTTATATTGAGTATATGTATTTTTCTGAAGTAACTAGCACTGAAAGAATGAAAACACTGGATTAATTTGTTGAAACAGAAGAAACTAAGGTTTATTAAAAAAATAAAGGGTTTGTATTGGAAGAAAGATTTAGGGTTAATAAATATGGGGTGCTTTAAAGCAGTTGTTTGCATCTTGTACCCCTCTCACCTTGTTTCATAAATATAAACCACCAAGGATTCTACAGATCTTCCTCAGACGTCTTGAGATGGTGTAACTGCTGAAGTTTTACTGTTAAATCAAATGTTATCAAATGTTTATCTATCACCTGTTTTCTTTACAGAGATTAGTTTTTGTAAGAACTCTTTGGTGCTACTCAATATGGATTTGAGAGATGCAGAATTTTATTGTGTACCATGTTAGGCACCAATGATGTCAACAGTCGGACAGCAGTGTTGAAATGTTATGGATTAAGAAATGGTTTTTTTAAGCTGCAACTAAGTTTGGGGGTTTTAATTTATTTTTTGTTGTGTTGGGTTTCCCTCCCCCCAGACAGTTGCTCTACAGAGTGAAAAATATTATGCAAAAGTGGAATTTTTAAGTTAAATCCTTTTTCAACTGTGGAACTTTCTTTCTTCTTTCTCTCTCTTATTTTTCCCTCTCCGCTTTTTATTTTTTCTTCCTGGAATGTACAAAGTAGTCTAATGGGATATGGGGAAAAGGTGGATGGCAACAAACATACAACGTCAGGTTTAGTTGCTTCAATGCTATTGCAATATAGTTACTACAGATTACCTAAAAATGGTTTATTTTATTAGCTTCCAAATAATGTATATATAGATTTGTTAATGGCTTACAAGTCAAGCTTACTCTTTGCTTTTTAAACAATAGTTATAGGCATGTTGTATTTGCCTTGTGTAAATTATAAAAGGCTATTTATTAAGTTTTCTGATAACTAATCTATTTATTAACCTGTATTGTTTTAAAATAAATGATTTATTTCTAGCTCAATGCTTGTTTTGTGATTCCTCTTTATCACGTGGGGGGAAACATCAGTTTCCCACACATCCAGTAGCTGTGCAGCCTAATCCCAATTCATAAACCCAAACTATCCTCATTTCCCTCTCATAAAACAGCAGCCTTGCTTTTACTGAGAGTGGCAGATCCTTTCTTGGGTACATATCAGTTGCCACACAAAGGGCACAGTTATTGTATAGTGGTGTCTACGAGTAGTAGTCTTACTGTCTTGATTGTACTGAAGTTTGCTCGCA